GGCAGGTTAGTGACTCTGAAGAAGATTACATTTGATCTAAAAAATATTTTAATATACTGACGGTGACAATTTTGCTAATAGTTAAACATTGCTTTAGTATGTCTATTGATCTAATATATGGCATGGTATTATACTGAACATCAGAAGTTCAGTACTTGGGGGCGCTTTGATTTTCTTGGACTTGAGCCTGCTCTTGAACACTAAAGCTAGACAGAAAAAATATTGAACCAACTATTTATAATTTGTTGAAGCTGTGCCTTTCACCATCAATTCAGCCTGGAGAGATTCACAGAGAAAAAGCTGCAATTAGAAAGTTTGGATAATGCTGGTTGGTGTAAAGAGTCTACAGATTTGAATGTGAGCTGAGGCTTCATAATGTCTTAGTGTTTGGAAATTGGTGACACAATAGTGGTGACAGTGGTAGTAACAGTAACCTCTGTTGTCTGCTTGGGCACTTCACCCACCTTGCCTGCTGGTCGGAGGGCACCGGTGCACAACAACCTTGATTTCCAAGCAAGCTACCAGGACCGAATGTAAACTGAAGGATGTTGGGATAAATCACTATACATGTACAAGCCATTCACCATTGGCGTAAACTGTCTAGGAGTCATGTTGCTGTTTTAATTTTGTCAGTTGTATTGAAAAATTCATGTGAACCTCTGACTGTAATGTTTCCAAGCAGAACATTTTTATTGTGATATGACCTGTTAATTCATCTCTCTGCTGCAACATGGCAGCAGACATGTTGCCTGTTCATTGTTTCCACAATGAAATTCAGAAAAAAGTATTTTGTCACCATATTCCACTGAGTAAAATATACTTAACAAATGTACTAATGATCAGAATTTTCTGTTTGACATGTAGGTGGGAAGAAATGTTGACTTCCCCCACAGTGTGTTCCTGCTGTGATTCTGTGTGCACCAACACAGACGTGTGTAAGTTTGCAAATTATGATATAGGGCTAGGGTTAGCATCATTTCTCAGCCACTTATTGAATGAGACCCATGAGCCTATATTTTTGACCTTATTTGGTTGTCCTCTTTCTCGCAGCTGTGAAGAACCATGTCAGAAGTTCAGGCTGGCTCATTGATCAAAAGTTGAAGAATACAGCAAGACAGAGATCTTCTGAAGCCCAGGAAAGAGAGTATTTGCATCAAAAAGCGATCAATAAAGACAATGTGGAGGATAGTCAGACTTTTCCACAGGACAGAAATGGTTTTAAAGATAAAGAGTCTGTTGCTGGCAGAAAAGAATGGAGACGGATGGTGATCCTGGAGCAGAAAAAGGCTGAAGAGGAGCAGACTGAGGAAAACGCCAGGAACCTGAAAAATGAAGACAGTGAGCTGACAATGCTTCTAACACACATGTCAGATGAAGCTAGATCACACAATGAAACTGCTCAGGTTGGGCAGGAGGGGTTAAATTTGAGAAATTCTATGTCTAGTTTAGCCATTGTCTATAAAAGCCCAGATGCTTCAGGTACACAAGGAAATAGTAGTTTTGGCATAGAGTATAATCCAAGCACTCAAAGTTCTTCTGGTAATAGTTCTACTTCTGAAGATACCGACACTACTCGTTGTCCACATAGTAACAGATCTAGTTGTCTGGCTGCTTATAGTGCCTCCCACAAGGAAAAACCTAATTATAATGAGGGACATGGTGCAATATCTAGTGCTGTTGGTATTGAGGACTTGAGCTTTGCTAATGTCAGAAATAGTTCTGTTAATTTGTCAGAGAAGGTTATACCTGAGGTGGATTCAGTCTTGTGGTCAAAATGGGTCAAATGTGTTCTGAGCACAACTCGCCACACACCAGTCCGAGAAACCGTAAGCAGTAATGGATTAAATGGAGATGCTGATCGACAGGTTAAAAGGTTACCGACAGGACACACTCATCCACGTTTGCTCAGGCACCTGATTTGTAATGATGGGGAGTCGGACATTACTACTGACCAAACTCTTCCTCAGACTCTACTACCGGCTAAAGGAAAGCTGAAAGATTCTGGCACCAGAACAACACTTCCTAGTTTTGCTTCTCTTTCCATTAAATCAGAGCAAACTCATGATCTCAACCCCAAGCATTCTGCCATGGTAACAGTCACCACTTCCTTTCAGGACTCTAACAGCAGTCCTTTGATTGACAAAGGCTGGGCTGAGGTGGTGCCAGAATGGGTTGTGCAACATTTGGCTTTTCTTGTGCAAAAAACAACTCTGGTTGTACAGAATTAGTCACAGACTTGTTCACCAGTCCTGTCATTGCCACAGAGTTTTTAGGTATCTTGTTGACAAAAAAAACTTCTACACAAAAGGAAAAGTTAGGTTGTCATTTTAGGATAAATATTTAACTTTGCAGAATACTTGGTTTGAGAGAAACTTATTGCCAGTCAGTCTTATCTAGACGTAGGAATATTGCATTAAAGCAATCTGAGGATTCCATTAATGTTTCTTCTCTCTGGAGCCCATAACTCAGTTAGTGAAATTCCTCAACTGAGAGATATGACATTAGAAGGTAAAACCTGTAGTAGCCTGTCATGAAAACTTTCTTGGAACTGGACCCAACAGAGTAAAACTAGAGAAATAAAACCTTTACTCATTGTATGACTGGACAAAATGTTGATTAAATTTCAAGCTGATCGGTCCGTTGCAGAGTTTGACTGATTTATTACAGTGTTTATTTAAATGCTTTGTATTCATAAAGAAAGTTGACTCTTTATGAGTCAAAGACGAACTGTTTGCTATTACAGTTCTGTTTGGAAAAACTGTAATTCCAAACAGTTCTTTATCCAGACTACATAATTCTGGCTTAAAACTATAAGCTGCAGTGAGAAATAGTTTTGGATTTGAGAGGTATAAATGTAGTTAGACATGAGTGTTTGGGGCCAAATCCCAAATGCATTTTTGTTATGAAGATTAGTTTGTTAAAAATAACCAAGATAGAAATCAAAAGCGGTATCCTGGTTTCTCCTTCAGGGATGTTTTTTGGTGCACTCTGAGTGTCTAGGAGTGTTAAAAAAAATGTATACCCTCCTGGTGCTACAGAGATATCTTGTTCTCTTTGGTTTACTTTTCAGTCTGTTCATTTGCTGTGGAACTGCTAAGCAAGATTACGATCATGGATCGGTTTGAAAATACTCGAAGTTGTGGCTGTATGCTGAAGAGGACATACCCTTGAAATGGATGTTTCAACAAGACAACACCAAACGCACCAGCAAGTAGGAAAATTATGGTTCCAGAAAAAGTGAACTAAAGTAATGGAGTGGCCTGTCCAATCTCTGGACCTTAATTCCCTGGAAAACTTGTGGGCTGACATAAAAAGTGCTGTTCTTCAGGAAAAACCAAGAAATGCAGAGGAATTGTGAAATGCAGTGCAGTCCGCGGTCCCGGTCGGACTGGGGACTGCGGTGCAGGATGTTTCCCAGGTGTTCTCAAGCCACCTGGGAAACATCGTCCTTCCAGGGTGTCCTGGGTCTCCAGTCCTCAAGGGCAACTTTTAGATGTGCCTCTGCTGCACCATCTGAGTAGAATAATTAGGTCATCAGCAAGGCTCTGGAGATCTGATCTACACAAGGAAATGCCTTGTTATTGAAATGTGCTATACCGGCGGTTTTCAAAGTGTGAGGCGCGCCTCCCCTGGGGGGCGCCAGAGCACTTTAGGGGAAGCGCGGTGCGAGGGAAAAAATAAACCGAAGAAGAAGCTATCTGCTTGCTGTCTACTGGTGTGAGAGAAAAAAACGGACATTTTTAGTACACGTGCTCAACCCCTTCACTTCAACCTATCTCTGCGAATGTGGGTTTTCTGCTCTCGCAATGATTAGAAATAAATCCCGGTCAAGGTGCTGGTTGAAGATGATCTGCGGTTATACCGCTCCACAGTGCAACTCCGCATTAACCGGATTTGCGCATCAAAAGCACATTGTTCCCACTAAAACTAAAGTGAGCTGAACAGTAATGTTGCCAATTTAGTTAAAATCATAAATAAAATGACTTACACATGATTCAGGACCGTGTTAGAAAAAGAAAGGATGCGCATAGCGTGCTAAATGTTTTTTCCTTTGTATGCCACTACATACTTCCATACAGCACGCTCTTTTAGCTCAAGATAAATTGTTTGTTTAAATTGTTTAGATGAGCCACAAAACGAGCTCCACAGTTTTGTAACTGTTTAGGTTTTTGATTTATTTTTTAATTTTAAGGAAATGTGCAACATTTACAGATGTGTTCCAAACATCTGATCAAAATGTTTTTGTTAAGATGTGAAAACACTGTTGGTATCAAACATTAAACTCAGAATCTCAGATGTAACGTTTGTTTGAGAAAACGGTTGAAAAATGAGTTTGGGGTTGTTCTTATCATTAGAAATCTGAAAAAAGGGCATATTTACCATCCAAAGGCCCTGATAAAATAATTAAAATGGGAGAAAATGTTTCAAAATGTTCATGTGTTAAATTTTTATTCAGATAAAGTGTCATTTTAAAAGATGAGATGGTTCTAAGCCATTAGGTGTTTTGTAGTGGCATTTGTTTGTGTGTGGGTTGATTATTGGGGGGGCGCAGCAGGCATTGTGCTCCTTGAAGGGGGGCTCACTATTTCATACTTTGAAAACCCTTGTGCTATACAAATAAAATATACAAAAGAGGAGGTAATTAAAGCATTTTATTCCAGTGTTTTGTACCTGTGGCAGATTGAAAAACTGCAGGATAGCGACCCCTGAGGACTGGAGTTTGACACGACATAAAGGAATGTCTAATTAGGAAATGAGTGAAGCAACATGTTGTCTTGCCATACAGTTAGCAAAGCAACTTTTGTTAAAGTTTTTTTTTTTTTTTTTATCAAACTAACAGTTGATTCTCAACTTGCAGTTGAACCCAAAAGTTTCTCTTTCTTGGTGCAGCTGCAGAGGGCTGATCTGGCAGACTCTGCTCAGCTGACTGGAACAAAATCCACTTTAGAAAAGACTAACTCTTCAAGTTTAACTGTACACAATGAGGTGAATCACTGTGAAGGTCCACACCATAGCTTTTTTTTTTAAATGATCCAAATTTATTGAATTTTTATAACAGAATAAGACCAAAAAAAACAAGTAATGGTGATACACTCAATAGATTCTTATTAAGTAATTTAGTCCTCAAAGCAAACAAACACTGATAATGATTAAAAAAAAAACAAAAACTCAGCAATCTCTGCATAGTTCTCTTAATGTCCTTTGTAGTGTTTCAGAAACTCGATCAATAGTGACCATGTTTCTTCAAATTTCGCTCCTTTTCCTCTGACAATGCAAGTGAGTCGCTCCAGAGCCACACGATGTCATCTCCTTCACCCACATGTGATTTGAAGGTACGTCCATTTTTCTCCAGTATAGAGATATTAGTCTCCTGGCCTGCAGGAGTCCAAAGTCAATCAATTTTAACTGTCTGGAATTCACTCCATAGCATTTCTTTAACAGCTGTAAAATCTTTCAAGTCTCTCTGTTCTCAAATTAGTAGATTATTATACAGGTTTTAATATTCCTTTAACATTTTAATCAGTCCTTCCCAAAGGAGCTAACCCAGTTATCTGAATCAGCTGCGTTAGAGCAGGGACACAGAAACATGAGGGACTGTAGCTGTTGAAGACTGGAGTTGAATGCCTGGGTTTACGGGAACAAAATTATTTTACTGATTACTGAGCTGCAACTCTTTAATTCTGAGGTTTTTCCATTAGTGGATCTGCTCCATCGCTCTCATCAGAGTCCCACTCAGTGCCAACATCCTGCACAGCAGCCAGGGACATGTCTGCTTGGACATCCTCCTCATCTGACTGAACCAGTGGCTCCTCCTGCTGCCCCCCTGCAGCCTGGTCTGACTGACTGCTGTTTACGTGAGGAGCTTGATTCAAGGACTCCAGAGAGGAAGAATTGAGGTCTGGACCTATTGAAAGAAGGTAAGGAAGGTTAACTTGCATCATTCATAGTTTTTGCTGTGTCTCAGCTCTAACTCTAGCCAGTTACATCTGATGTTGTAGGAGGTTGGTATATAGAGACAGAAATTCCTTTAAATCCTCAAATCTAAACAAACCTGATGTCAGAGAGGATTCACAACTGGAATCTTCACCAGTGGAATTAAGAAAATCATCCAGGGCCTCCAGGTCTGCTAAGTTAATCAATGTCATCTGATCCAGAACAGCCACATCGACCCCTGCAGACTCTGCCAACACACATCAGCAATTCTGGTACACCAAAACTGTCCATTCAGTTTTACTTGTATAGCAAGTTGAAACCTGGTAGTTTATGTTTATCCAATTATTCAGATTGATCGTGTCCTCAGTGGTGCTTAAAATAAATGTCTAAGTCACCTTTGCCCTGTAGGCATCCAGTGGACAGATAATTCTCCACGTCTTGGTTGAAGGCTTCCTCGTAGACCTTCTGTCGCTCTCGCAGCTTCTGCTGCATAACCAGCTCCATTTCTGCCACTCTCTGAGCATGCTCACACTTCAATTCAGCTACAAAAGAAAACACTTATTAAATATGCAAGCTTTTCCAAGAAAACTGAAACCACTCCATGCCACCTTTATAAAGGTCAGCCTGAGACAGCAGACTGATGCTTCAAACAAAGGCAGGTCAACAGACTATTGAAGGCCACCCAGAGTGAGTCTGTGTGTTTCTATCAACTACTGATGAATCAAAGCTCAAGTTGATGCAGTGAAGTGAGATCATCAAGAGGGAGCCATCCAGGTAAGGATTGTTAACTTTGTTGCTCATTCACCATCATGCAAACCCCCTTTCAATATCGCTTAAACTTTTTGAGTAACGCTCCCATCCCACAGTAGATTGATTCTATGGTTGCCAAAGTTGAAAATTTATTCTTTCCATTGAAACAAACTTTTTTAACCTGATTATTTGCCCCGAATTCACTGCAGCTAACTGTGTTGAAAACATGACGTAAGCCTGGATGTCATAATAAATGAATAATAATGTATTAATAATTGTACGATTAATAATAAATTAAGCTGAAAATAAATAATTACCTACATTGTGTGTTTATATTGTCAGCAATAATAACAATTAAAAAAGCTCTTAATACAATATTTTTGGGTGGAACAATGTTTCATTTCAGGTTTTAATTTCTACACAAAAAGAGAACGGATGTGTTCTGCTGCTTACCTTCCAGGAAATCTGCTTCCTTCCTGCACCAAAACAGACAGTTTCTATTAAAACTCAAGCAATGTCAGTCTGTTTTTCATCTGCTTTCATTACCTATCTGATACCCAAGTGGCCTGGATCGCATTCGAAAAGAATCCAACCTGTTTTATTCAGACTGTCATAAAAAGATCAGAAACGGGTCACATTTTGTCAAAAATAAAAAAAATTTAAAATCGGAATTGGGTCCCGTCAGGCTGCAGTGTGAATGCAGCCTAAGTCTGAGCGTGAAGAGAAGTTTTGAGTACAAGTGTTACAAGTTTTTGAGAAACATGAAATCCTGCTTTCAAAATGGAACTGTGAACAAAAGTATTAAAAGTTTTGAGAACAAAAGACATGAAATTCTGCGTTCAGACTGAAAGCAGAACTAGATTATGGCTGAAAAATTTCTCCATATATTTGCTGCCTTTGAAAGATCCAGTGTATGTAGAATGGGTCCTTCAAAGACTGCAAAAGTGATGCAGTCCCTGAATTTGGACACACTGATGGTGTGCGTCTGTCCTTCAGCCCTGTGGTGCTTCTGTGAGGAATTCTTAAAGCATGAGCATACAGAGACATTTTGGACAAATTGAACTTCTCCTGTGTCAAAATGACTACATGAAGGTCCCTAAAGAGTTCTGACCTCAACACAAAACCTATATAATTAATTAGATTAGAGTGGAGACTATCATCCACCATCAGGATCTGACCTCACAAGTGTACTTCTGGAAAAATGCTAAAAAAAAAAAAATCCCATAAACACACTTTTAAACTTTGAACAAAAACTTCCCAGAAGAATTAAAGCTATCAAAGTTACAAAGCATCAACAGATATTATAAGCTTTGGGGCTGAAGTACAGGATGGCACTCAGGTCCATCTGTCTGCTAACTGGATGAATACCATGGTAATATAGTGTATGTATCTTTGCTTATTTTCTGATAAAAGAAAATGAACAAAAGATGAATGACTGACAATAGAAATATTAAAATTGCCTACCTTTTCTTCTTTTTATATTCTTCAAGTTGATTCTTATGATGATTCTTTACAGTCTGTTGCTCACACTGACAACACAGAGTTTCCAGATGCAGCAGTCTGCTCTCCATCTCTGCAAATTCACCTTCTAGTTGAGCTAAAACACATTCAAAATAAAACTATAAAAACACATTTGTGGAATATGCACACCTGTTATATTCTCAACTGTTTTAGAAATTGACTTAATTTTAATCAAATAGTCAAAGAATTTCCTCAAGGTATTTCTCATGAGACAGAACTCGTATTGTGCCATATGAAATCAAAAGACAGATTGTATCTCCTCTTCAGCAGGCAGCAGTATGAGGTCTTTGCCCTTAGAGAAAGTGTGTACTTGATAGGCAACAGTTCCTCAGGTTAGGCGTAACTCATCTTAAAAGTTAATGAATGAATGAATAAATGCTTTATTGTTAATGTACTGAAGCACAACAAAAATCATTTTGTATAAATCCATCCAGTGAAGACAATAACCAGACAAAAACAGTGGAGATGGGATGCCTGGGGCTGCCGCTACTGAATGCACCGCTCTGTATGTTAGAGTGAAACGGTGAGATCAGGAAGTGTGTATCTGTAGGATGGGGAAGGAGATAGGAGATGGGAAAGAGCCTCGTGTTTACATATCATCCAGGAGATCTGAGAGCCAGACCAGCCAGACCAGACCAGCCAGACCAGCAAGACCAGCCAGACCAGACCAGCCAGACCAGACCAGCCAGACCAGCAAGACCAGCCAGACCAGACCAGCCAGACCAGCAAGACCAGCCAGACCAGACCAGCCAGACCAGCAAGACCAGCCAGACCAGACCAGCCAGACCAGCCAGACCAGACCAGCAAGACCAGCCAGACCAGCAAGACCAGCCAGACCAGACCAGCCAGACCAGCAAGACCAGCCAGACCAGACCAGCCAGACCAGCAAGACCAGCCAGACCAGACCAGCCAGACCAGCAAGACCAGCCAGACCAGACCAGCCAGACCAGCAAGACCAGCAAGACCAGACCAGCCAGACCAGCCAGACCAGACCAGCAAGACCAGCCAGACCAGCAAGACCAGCCAGACCAGACCAGCCAAGACCAGCAAGACCAGACAGACCAGCAAGACCAGCCAGACCAGCAAGACCAGACCAGCAAGACCAGACCAGCCAGACCAGCAAGACCAGACCAGCAAGACCAGCCAGACCAGCAAGATCAGACCAGACCAGACCAGACCAGCCAGACCATAATTTGTAGACTTGTAGGGTGTCCAAAAAGCAGCAAAAAGACAAACACAGCATGGAAAAGTGGGTAGAGCAGTGGACGGGTAGGTTAGAGAAGCTCTAGCTCTCACTAACATTTTATTGGCACTCCTACTTGAATAATTTATTCAAATACCGACACTACCAGAGAGTCTTACTGCTTTCCTTGCATTGGTTGAGGTTTTTTTTGTTGTTGTTCAGCCGTTGTTCATGTTTCCAACATGCCATGCTAGTGACATGAGAATCTCTTCAGTCTTTTATGCCACTTTCAACTTTCATCTCTGAACAATTCTCACTCTGTGTCACTGTTTGCAAGTTTGTCCTATCAGGTCATATGACCCCACAACAATCACACTCAGTTAATATCTGTCAATAAAAGACAGAAGCAACTGGATTGTCATGTCTAAAAATTCTGCTTTCCTGAACTCCCACATTCACAGTTTACTCTATCATAATTCAGACAAGAGTGAGTGATTAATAGAGCAAATCTGGAACACATACACACCTATGTTGGCAGTAATGGCATCAAGTTCGGTGATGAAATCTGGTAGGGTTTGCAGTTGTTCCTGTAGGTGTGTCAGAGCAGCTTTTCTCCTCTCCCAGTGTGCTGACAGCATCACTATGTCACCATCCACAGACTAAAAAATAAAGAAAGATTAAAGATCAGGGCTTTCATTTCTGGTCATAATGCAAAAGTTTTTTGTTTTTTTAAGGTTTTGTGGCCTTTATGTGATAATTGACAGGAAAGTGGGTAATGAGAGAAGAAGACGTGCGGCATAGGTCGCCAGGCCAGGAATCGAACCTGTGACATCCAGACGGTCGCATTGAGGACTAATGTCTCCATATGTGGGTAGTGCTTAACCCCTGCACCACCACAGCACATCCTGACCACCATAGCACCGACTAACAGATAAATTATGTCAGGATATGAAACATTCAACATAATTCCTGTACAGTTCTAATGCTGCGTGATGGATGCATTGGCATTGATGAAAGATGTTGAAAATGAGAGAATTGGGGGGGAATCAGTTTTCAGAGATCACCAAAGTCTTCTGGCCCATGATGACTGGCCGATTGAGACTCGCTATGGTGTTGCTCTTGGATCTGTGTGTTAAACTGGGTCATAGCCACCGGAACCAATCCATCCCTGTCCAATTACAGGTGTTAAACACTCTGGGGCTCATGGCAATCAGCTCCTACAAGGCAAATTAGCAGACAGGTGTTTGAATGGGTTAAAACAAATAGTTAACTCTCTGGAGCCACTTTGAGGAACAACATAATTGTGCAAAGATCTCCATAGGTGTGAGATATCACGGGCAGTGCTGTCCCTGCCGTCCTGGATGGCATTATTAACATGGCCAGTCCAAACATCAGATTTTACCACAACTTAAGCTCAGGCAGCAGACAAATGCTCATCACCATTTATAACATCCGTTGTTTACTTATATTGTCGGAGATGTCTGAGGTTTGTGTCAGGAGTAATATCAGAGAAAGATTTAATTAGTGTCGCACTTCCTACAGACTTTTGAAACTAAAACGCTGAACTTGAAAGCCTTGATTAAATCAGTGTTTCCCAGTCCTGGTCCTCAAGGCATGCTGCTCTGCATGTTTTGGAATGTTCCTGCTTTAATACTTCTGATTCAGCAAACAGCTGTTAATCAGCCATCAATTAAAATCAGCTGGACTGAAGCAAGGACACACCTAAAAAAACAACAAAAAAACTAAATAGTCCGTACCTCTGCTGCCTGGGTACAGGCTTTGGTTCTCTTATGGAGCAGAAACCAACTCTTCTCAAACCTAAAGAAAGACAAGAACTGTTTCTTTCCATCCAAACATTCTAGGTGTGCTTTACAGGGACCAACCAAATCAAGGTCCCCATGGGTCAAAACGCTTTCACCGAGACAATCAGTGCAAAATAAACAGCCCAGTGAACACATGATGCAGAGCAGAGGGACAACCAGGGAATTGCAGAATCTCTACTGACCTGTTCAAAATGTTAAGTCCAGCACCTAAAAATGGAAAACCTTCTTCCAACCTGAAAGAAAGATTGACAATGTTTTAGTGAGAAAGAAGTTTAGTGACAAGAGTCCAGGTAGCAACTAGGTGCTGCATCCATCACACAAGGCTGGCTGGTAGAAATGGTGTTGCAAATCATAGTCATACCTCTTGGAAGTTTGCAGTTATGAGTCACTACTTAAAAAGTTTCTGGAGACATTGCTATACTTACACAAATTCAGAGGAAAGTGAAGTTACATTTATTTTTTTTCTCTGAAGAGTTTTTGCAGCGCCAGTGGCTCGTATTTTTGACAGTAGGCATACAGGAAGGAGGTCGAAGGGTGAGGGAGGGAGACATGGGGCAAAGGTTGCCGGGACCAGGAGTCGAACCCGCGACGCCCACGTCGAGGACTAAGGCCTCCAAACATGGGGCGTGTTGACCCCTGCGCCACCAGTTCCATTTATGTATTCTAGGGAATTTTCTTTTTAACAGTTAACATATGAGATCTCCTTCTTCAGCCCTGAAATGCATCATAGACATTCTTTGAATTTCTATGAGTGTAAAAAATATACATTTATTCTCTCCCAGTGCTGTACAGATATCTATATTCTCTTTGGGGTACATTTTTAGGTCTGTTAGATTTTCTCTATTTGCTACAATGTTTTTCTTGTCAATGATGTCATTGCATTTGCTGTCGAACTGCTAAACAAGGTCAAGATGAATCAGTTTTGTGAATTTGACACTTTTTTTCTTCACAGCAATTTTGTAGTCCAAGTTCAGTTATCCTGAAGTTACAAGTAGTCAAGTGAAAATGTTGGGTTTTATGCAGTATTAATGCACAAGAATCGCCCCGCAGCATCAGGTCTGTTTGAAGTGTTGGCTTAAGTCAGTTTTGGAGCACTTAAGGATGAGTGCTTCAGCAACCTCTGCCAGTTTCACCAGTGATTTTCTGACTTAGTCTGATTGAGGGTCAGTTCCTCCACTCTACTAAAAGCAGGGACACAGCAAAGCTCCAAATAATGCTAAAATGACAACAAAGATTATTTTAGACATTAATTTTGTGTGTTAATAATGACATCCTGGCCATTGGTTTGATACTGTACTGCATGTTCTGGATATAATTACTTGGTTTTGTTTTTACCAATTTTGTCTCGGGGAGCACAGGATCCAGTTCAGTGATGTTCTTGATGCTTGAGTTAGTGAACTCCTTAATTATGTGAAGCTTTGTTTACTTCATTTATTTTGTAGTAGCATTAATATTTTAAAAGATATCCAGTATGCATGGGCAGTATGGCTAAACTATGCTCTACAATACAGGTAGTTAGAATGGATGGAGAGACTGTAATTACAGTAATACCTTTGAGATGCATTTATTTGAATGTGTGGTTCTTCATTCTCCTGCTCTGTGTCAGACTCTGGTTCCAACATGTAAAGTTGGATGGACAAGTCTTCTGTTAACATTTTTAATAAACTTTAAAATAAATAGTTTCTCTGCCAGTAGATAATCATCAGCATATGTATGAGCAGGGTGTAGAGGAATGCTCTGAGACCTGGAGGGCTCGGGGCATGAAAAATAAAATGCAACAAAAGTTGCTCCAAAACACACTTCAGAACAGGGGTAACAGGTCTGTGGAGCTAGAACGAGGAATTCAGACCAAACCATTGCAGTTCTACTTTGCAGACCATAACTGAATGATTTACATGTGAAAATAAAGCATGACATGTCCACTTTAAGTAAAATGGCTTTGTACTTGTACAGTGTTTTATCAAGTCCAGAGGACTCCAAAGTGTTTCACACTACAGTCATTCACACATTCACCCACATGCTGATGGGGGCTACCTGGATAGTAGCCACAGCTGCCCTACTGCAGTCTGACAGAAGTGAGGGTGCCATGAACCGGTGCCACTGGGCCCTCTGACACTCATCAGTAAAGTAACTTCTTAATATGCAATTATTTTTCCCAACAAATAAACTGAAACTAAAGGGAGGATTGTTCTGTTTTCTTCTTTATGAGATTGTGCAACTGCAAAAAAATATTTTATTATTAAATATTTCAATGAGGGACATTAATACAAGTTGAGGGGACAATTTATGAAGCTCACAAAACTGGACCAGTAATATTATGTGTATACAATATAGGGTGTTTGTGGTATACACACAAACACATAGATTACATGTCACCTGGATTTCTTCTTGATTTTGGTCTCTTTGGACATGTCTCCCAGGGTCTTGAAACTGAAACAGAGTGAGAGGCAGACCAGAAATATAGGGTCATGGAGTATTCTGCAAAACTAGGATTAAACTGTGCTTGATGTGTTTAATTTGGGCAAATTCAGAGAGGGTTTTTGTCACTGAGAAAAACATTTTCTAGACCAATCAACAAAAAAACAATCCATCCAAAAAGTTACACTCTGAAATACCCTCTTACAAACCAATGTTAATCTGTACTTTCTACTTTGTTTCACTAAATTATTGCATGTTTAATGAGCAGGTGAAGAAAATAACTGACAACAGTTTTCAGCAACAAAAGGTCCCCTGTAAACTTTCTAAATGCAAAATGTCCCGACGCCACACAGCTCCAACCTTCAGCTACAAACTAAAATGTTTTGTGAAAACGAGATACAAAAAAACTTTCTGAGCCCTAAAAAGAGTATGACAAAGACTCAGTTTTATTACATCGCATGGGAATAAACCCCTGGACCACGGGAATGAAAGTAAAAATGTACCATGATGCACCGGGGTTTCAGCCACTAGACTCGTACAGGGTTAGGGGTGACGTCATTTCATGCCCTTACGCGTCACATGATCATCAGCTGAGACCAATAATTACAGACTACGATCAAAACACGGGAGTCCAGCAGATTAGGTCACCAAAAAGAAATCCAACTATCTAACATTTCCTTCAGTTTAATGTTGACAGTGCACAAGCACGGGACGATAGCACATCTGCTACTTCAAGTTACTGCAGCTGTTTCTACATTAGCTAGGGTACACAAAACATCGTGTTGTGGTCCATGATCAAATAAAAGAAAAAGCGACGAACCTGGTTGAGAAGTCCTGTTGGACCAGGTGAAGTCTTTCTCTAAAATTTCCAAACATTTCTACCAAATTTCAGGGTCAGATTTGTTCCTCTGAGGAAGCTCCACCAAGCTTTGCTCCTTCTTCTTCTCCGTTTAGCTGCGCTTTGTATCCGCTACTGCCATCTTGTGGAACAATGATAAAACAAGCTCTGCCGCTGCCTTGCGTACTTCTCTGGAATCACTGTCTTCATGTATTTATAGGTAAAAAACTTTCAGTGCAATTAGTTAAATGGACAAACTGAAACAAAAATAAAGTCACATTACTAGATTCAGTACCTATGTACACTCTGCATATGAACAACATTTTCTGTTGCAGATTGAGTTCTCACCTCCTTTGGCACTGTGACAGAAGCTTGTTAGTAATATTACTTTGGTTTTGTTTTTTTCTTTAGAAATATTTTATTGTTACTTGGGATATTTTAAAACATGGCATTGTACAGTTATACAGAATTTTTGTACTTTTCTTTTAACAACTATAACACGTCGGTTAAATTTAAACTAAAAGAAGATAAGAACAAAGATGTCAAAACAAAGTTCCTGTATGTTTAAAAGTTGAGCAGAACCGAGGTGACTCCTTACAAAGTTCGGAGCCGTCCCGTTCTTCCAAGGGTAACATAGTTAACAGTTCAGGTTAAATCCTGCTAAAACGCACCATCTGGTGGTAAAGCGTTATATTGCATTCACCTTAGAAAGAGCGAGGTATTATGGGTAATCATCAGAGCCATGAGAATCATTGTCGAGGTAACGTGTCTCTGCTATGTAGAATAAAAAATAGTATTTATGCATTTTATAAAATATGTTTATGGTTTTCGTTTTTGCATATATTGAAATATGTTTAATTTAGGAGTCGCTACTCTGTTATTATATTGTTTTTGTTCGTGAAAAACTGTGGTGTAAATTTCCCACGAGATAATATTATGGCTCCTCCTTGCAGGAGCTTATTTTGTGCCGGAGACTGACCTCTGACCTTACCTCGATGCCCATTATGTGAAATGCAGGTATGTTTTATCAAATGGCTTGCAGCAGATGGCTGTTTTTTATGAACAGTTTTATATAAAGATATGGTTTATTTATGTGTCTGCATTGTTCCAAGATGCAAGTTTATCTTGGATCTTAATGGCCCTTAGCGGCAGGTTTAAAGAGGAGTCTTGAGGCAGAGAAATAGTGCAGACCAGTAGTGATGGTGAGATGAAGCCTCGTGAGGCATTGAACCACTTGAGCCAAATGGTTCGAGAAAGGATTCATTTCTTGAAGCTTCATGTGCTCATGAAACCACCTACTGGCCAGGTGTATAATCACAGCCAGTGATTATACACTGGCTGTTATATGGTTTATTTATGTTTCTGCATAATTCAATGCATCACATTGATGCATTGAATGTGATGCATTGAATTTTTGTCTATTATTGCTCTTGGGAATGACATCACAAAAGATGTAGGATGAAATCATTTGTCTAAATTATGTATATACATATGTGTACAATGAAATATTGTTTGAATGTATTCTCTGTGTGTAATTTTTCCCAAAATAGAAGTGTCATGTGATATGACATGTTGTGTAATGTTTTTCTGTGACTTTAGAAAAATGGCTTATGTCGTTGCCACTACCTCCCCTCCCCCTCTCTCAGTCACTACTTCCTCTTCTGAGAGGGGAGATGTGCTACCATCTCTCCATCTAACGGGTAAATTGAGTTTCCTAAATCTGCAGGGATTTACCCTATCCAGAATTGAAGTAAACTCTGTTTAAGCTGGTTTCTAGAAAGGATTCGCCTGATTTCTACGGCCTACATCCAGATGTCTGACCCTTCTTCCCCCTGTGAATTAGCCAGACTGAGCAGCCTGCAGCCAACTAGTTTCACAGAGCACATCTGTTAACGGTCGCTCCTTCTCTTGATTACAACTTGCACTTGTTACTGAATCAGGTTGGTTTTAGTGACTCGGGCGAGTCCCAAGGATGTTGTTTTAAATTTGGGCTAAAGCAACCTATAAAACATTACCTAGTTTTCTTCCCCAGAATAAAACATCACAGCTATTTTACTACCATCAAAGAACTTTGAGGTGACTCATTAATTGAATGTCCACATCTTTTAGATTTTCTTTATGCTAAATATTTTATTAGTAAAGCAATTTTGCAAGGGTCAGTATAGCTTAATTCAGTAGCAGAAATAATCAAATAAGTACAATCAATCATCTAGCCTGTCTTTCCCTAACGCTGATACTAAGAACTAAAACGGGAACCTTTGAGAGAGACGGATGAAGTATGGTGTTTCCAACTGGCTCGATGATGAAGAAGGTGTTGCAGCAGAAGGAGGTTGATTGATGAAGGCAGGGATCTCTGTTGGTCTGATGAGCTGTCATCTCTGCATCGATGGTGAGGTCACACAGGACTTGGGTCTTTATCTTTTCCTTGATCTTCATCTTTTCCTTTGGGGTCTTCATCTTTGTCTTTGGAGTCTTTGGGGTCTGAACCCAGCCTATGAGAGAAGTGCGATTTGAAGCCACATGTTGCGGGGCTGATGGGTTGGTCCCCATGCGCAGGACAGTCTTCGTCCCTGTGGCCCCGGCTCTTCTTCAGCTGCAGAGTTCTTTGTCCATCTCGGTCTTGACTCAAAGCTGCCTGGAGGATCCAACCAAAGATTCCTCTTTTGCTCTCCCCTTATATAGGGTTTATCCAGCCTTTTGGTGCATTTGCATTGGCTAACACTGTTGCTGTGCTTGTTTTATTGGGTAACTTGTTTGGACAGATAAACTCATATCCATCACTGTCTTAGAGACATTTTGTCCTGATGTCTTGGCTAATGTCTCAGGGTTGCTGACACGTGTAAGTTGTTCAACAAGCTATCTCCTAATAAGGCATTGGTCATCTCTGCTTTCCTGTTAGTCCCCATTTTACCCCTAACCTCTCACCTACTATCTACCTCCAACACATCATCAGTGATCTTTAATAGCAGTTACATGTTTTACACCATTTCAAGTTCAATGTTAAAATCACATTCATAAACCTTTTAGTTTCTTTAATTTAGCATTAATTTATAATTTTATGATAACCACAACTTATTACTCCTTTTATTATTTGATGCCAAAGTTACAGTTACTTGTTTTACTTGTACGATTCTCCACAAGTGTCAGTAAGTATTGTTATAAGTAACCCAATATTAATATAAGTACTTTACTTTAAATCTTATCTAATTACTCAAAATGTTTAGATTTTATCCTTTAAAACTTTTATGCTTTTAAACAAGGAATAGTCTCAGCTATTTTTATACAGCTGCAAGCTGGAAACTTACTTCCTCTTTTTCCAGGAAACCTGCTCTTCCTGTCTCATCACTCTCTGACTTCTTATGATTAGATATAAAAATTAAGTATAATGAAAGCTAAGTTTGCAGGAGACAAAACAACACACACAACCAGATTTATTTTATTGCAGTCTGGGTCCACTGTTGGATCTAGATGTGATTTGTGTGACTTATTTTAAAGATAACTTTATTTGTTGTTACTGTTAACTAAAATCTCCAGCATGGGGAAGTGGGACGATCTCGGATTTTCTTGACACTTAACCAGGCAGAGGACAGTGAAAGTGCTTGTGGAACTCGAGAGGGGGTAGTGAATAGGCTAATGCTTGTGTAACTTGGATGATTTCATGCATTTTTATTAAGAAACAACAATTTCTCCACAGTTTTTGGTTTCAAACGATTCCTCTTTTTTGACACTACTTCTCCAGCCTTTGAAAAGACATGCTCACATGGCACAGATGATGCTGGGGTGCATAAATAAATAAGTGCAAGTTTGTACAGATTGGGGTACAGTGACCGATGATTAGCTCAGTACTCCAGGGGGTTCTCCAGCCTGCTTGTGTTTGCCTGTGACAGGTAGCACTGGACCTCTACGGTGGCATCTGCTGACACATTTTGAGTCCTCTTTGCCTCCATGACACTAGTGTCCAATCTTTGCCAAAGTCTGCTTCCTACCTTTAAATAAAATAAGAAACAATGAAGAAAACAGTTCCTCATAAGCAAATCTAATGCATCTGCAAATGTTCAGTTCACCTTACCTTGTTAGGGCTTATCAAATCAAAATGTTCCCACATAGGGGAAAT